GTGAGTTTGAGGCTAGCCTGGTCTACCAAGTGAGTTCCAGGACAGCCTCCAAAGCCACAGAGAAACCCTGTCTCGAAAAACCAAAAAAAATAAAAAATAAAAAATACATAAAAATGTGTCTGGATTTTTGGTGCTGCAGGTCAGAAGAGGGCACAAGGTCCCTGTGAACTGGAGTTCTGGGCAGTTGTAAGCTGATGGAGATGTTGGGAACTGAACTACAGTCCTCTAGGAAAGTAACACGTGTTCTTAATGGCTGAGTCATCCTTCTAAGCCCTACGTAGCTTTTAACTTGATGATGATGGTGGTGGTGGTGGTGTGGTATTCGCACATGCCTGATGTAGGGGACACAGGGAGGTCAGAAGACAACTCTATGGAGTCATGTCTCCACCTCTGTTGGTTCTGCGTGTGGAGCAAACACACTGACCTACTGAACCGTCACTCCAGCTCTGCTTGATTCTCTTGAAACCAGCTATGTAGCTTAGACTGGACTTTCAACGCACAGTCAGTCTTCCAAGTATAAGAATTACAAACATGTGCCACCATTCCCTGCCCCCACCTCTTTCCCCCTTGAGATAGAGTCTCACTGTATAGCTGTGGCTGAAACTCAATATGTAGACCAGGCTGGCTTCAAACTCACAGAGATCCAGGAGCTTCTACTTGTCAACTGCTAGGATTAAGGATATGAAGCATGTAGCACAGTCTCTCTTGTTCTCAAATGTCAATATGTTTTTTATGGCTTTGCAGTATCTTCTCATATGTATATGTATTATGAGGTATTTCTTATGGGTTAAATCTGAACTGTCCCACAAAGGCTAGCTTTGAGTACTTAGTCCCCAGCTGTGGTGACTTAAGCTGTGAAGTCTGCAGGAGATGGAACAAAGTGACAGAAATAAGTCACTGGGAATGAGTACTGTGATAGCCGTGAGTTCAGCTGGGCGTTGGTGGCACACGTTTTTAATCCCAGCACTCGGGAAGCAGAGGCAGGCGGATCTCTGTGAGTTCAAGGCCAGCCTGGTCTACAATAGCCAGTTCCAGGACAGCCTCCAAAAGCCACAGAGAAACCCTGCCTCGAAAAACCAAAAAAAAAAAAAAAAAAAAAAAAAAGTCAAGTGTACATCAACAGCATGACAGAGGAGGCAGTTATCCAAATGACTGAAAAAAAAATACAGCTTTGGGAATGACAAGTATGCACAGAACAACTCCACCCCAACAGCAACAAAAAATAAAAAGGGAAAAAGCTTTATGAAAAAATAATTGTGCCGGGCGTTGGTGGCACACACCTTTAATCCCAGCACTCGGGAGGCAGAGGCAGGCGGATCTTTGAGTTCGAGGCCAGCCTGGTCTACAGAGCAAGTTCCTGGACAGCCTCCAAAACAATACAGAGAAACCCTGTCTCTGAAAAAAAAAAAGAAAAAGAAAAAATAATTGCACCAAATCTTGCTCTTCTAAACGTTTCATTCACTTTCAAATATTTTTCCATTTATTCTCAAGATAAATTTTAAGGATTGTTGTGAGTTCGAGGCTAGCCTGGTCTACAAAGTGAGTTCCAGGACAGCCTCCAAAGCTACAGAGAAACGCTGTCTCGAAAAACCAAAAAAAAAAAATTTTTAAGGATTGTATTTTAAGGATTTTTCTTGGTTTAGTACCCACTTCAATATAAAATACATTTTTTTCTATTTTAGGCGATTAAATATTTTTAAAGGATTTATGTGTATGAGTACTCTATCTGCATATACAACTTTATGTTGTGAGAAAGGGGCACCAGATGTCATCATAGATGGTTGTGAGCCACCATGTGGTTGCTGGGAATTCAACTCAGAACCTCTGGAAAAGCAACCAGTGCTCTTAACCTCTGAGCTGTCTCTCCAGCCCGGCAATTAAATATTATGTTAAATAAATGTCTCACTATGTAGCTCAGGCTGACATCACATCAAACTTGCTATCCCCCTGCCTCAGCCTCCTCAATGCTGGTGACCATCCCCAGCTGTGTTAATTAGGAAAGAGTACAACCAATTAGGCGAGCACAAAGCCTAGTGTTTAACAGTTGGGATCCTGAAATAGAGGTTGAGAAGGACAGCGGTTTTTTTTTTTGTTTTGTTTTGGTTTTTTTGGTTTTTATGAGACAGGGTTTCTCTGTGGCTTTGGAGGCTGTCCTGGAACTCACTTGGTAGTCCAGGCTGGTTCGAACTCACAGAGATCCGCCTGCCTCTGCCTCCCGAGTGCTGGGATTAAAGGCGTGCGCCACCAACGCCCGGCCAGGACAGCGATTATTGATGAAGGATGAGGCCGAATACAGGGGCAAGCCGGTGCTGAGAAGGGGCCCTAAGAGGCAGCTGCCGGCGTTGCTGAGGTCATCTATGCCGACGGCACAGACTAAGGAGGAGCGCTCAATCTCTGAAAGAGGCGACTGCTAAGGAGCCCTTGAGCCACATGGGGCAACGTCCTGTGGCAAATTTTTAAGTTAATTTCTGGCAAACATCCATCCAGCAAGCTGGTAGATGAAGCGGTGAAGACGGCAAACGCTAATCTAGCCAGATGAACAGAGGACTTAGAGGAAGGTTTGGAAGCACTAATTAGGAACAGACTTAACCAGCCTGAGCTCCTGACCTCAACACACAGAATGTGAGAGAAAACTACTCTGCAATTCTACAACAGAGTTAATGGAAAACTTTCATCACTAGAATTAGTTCTGATGGTATTCCCACGGGCATTATGAGAAAAGCCTAGAAAAACAACGTTACTGGTAGCTGAGGAGAACACGTCTCCTGAGAAACTTAGTTTCTGCAAGAACACCCATAGATAGTGTCCAGGGATTCTAAACAGGTGGCCATCTGCAGACTGGAAGTGATGTTTCTGCTCGGGGCACATCAGGCATCTATAGTTTGGCTCTTTGCGGGTCACAGATTGAATGCTGGACATGGTGCTGTGATTAAAACGACCACAGTGGCTGGAGCAGTGGCTAAATGTGTGCTTCTCACGTGATCTCTGTGAATTCAAAGTCAGCCTGGTCTACATAGTGAGTTCCAGGACAGTTAGAGCTGTAATACAGAGAAACACTCTCCAAAAGCCAAATAAGAGGATGAGAAGGACGAGGTGGTGAACCCCTTTAGTTCCAGCACCCAGGAGGTAGAAGCCCCAGGTTAGGGCCTCATGCTTGCTAGATATACGCCACTTTGGAGCCTGTCCTGGAACTCACTAGGTAGATGCACAGAGATCCACCTGCCTCAAGTGCCACCACTGTCTAGCCACTCTATATATTCTTTTGTTTGTTTTTGTTTTTGTTTTTTCGAGACAGGGTTTCTCTGTATTGTTTTGGAGGCTGTCCTGGAACTCGCTCTGTAGACCAGGCTGGCCTCCAACTCACAGAGATCCGCCTGCCTCTGCCTCCTGAGTGCTGGGATTAAAGGCATGCGCCACCAACGCCCGGCCGATGCTGAGTTTTTTATGAAGAGGAACTAATACAATAAAATTGCCTCTAGGATAGCAATCTATAATTACAACAATGTTCCGCGAGGAAGGGGTGGCACACACCTTCCATCTCAGGACTAGGGAGGCAGAGGCAGTCAGATCTCAGCATTTGAAGCCAATCTGGTCTACAGAGCAAGTTCAAGGACAGCAAGGGATACACAGAAACCCTGACTCAAAAAAAATCAAAATCATGTTTCTTCAAATTTATAGGTCCATTTTTAGTGAAGGCTTTGCTTTTTTTTCTAATTTAGCCATGTAGAAATAGGCAAACACTTAAAAATATTTTCTGTTCATATTTTAAATTTTGTTCATGCTTAAATTTTAAGACTTTATAGCACAATCTAGAGCTCAGCTTAGACACTGAGGAAATGATTAAGACACCGAATCTGAGGTCAGCTCCTTCGTCTCCTGCAAAGTTCCCTGAAACATTTCCTGTGTGTGTGTATACATAAATATGTATACATTTATATCGTTTAAAAACGCATATACATTGAAGCATTATACATGTTTTTATCAGCATTTACTATGAGTTTTACTGCGACTTTTTACGTATTTAACAAACGATGTTCACGTTCGCCCCTATATATGTACTATGTTAATAAGAAACATCTCTTGTCGGTATTGTGTTCTAGAAGACATAACTGCAGCATATCTGAGACTCCAAGCTCTTCCTCGAATCAGTAGCACGAGTTTCATAGGGCCCTGGCTTCTTCCAAAATTCAAAATCCAGTATGCATCACTACATGCGAATGAAGTTGACTGCTATATTAAGGAGTTTCTAAACATTGCGCCTCGCTTCATCCCATTACCAAACACAAGACTTGATGAAGTTATGCTGAGATCCTTGGTGTGTTTGGGGTGGGAGGGTGTCTTACCTAGACAGCTCTCGGAAAACAAAGCACAGATTTGTTTGAAGCCAAAGACTTTAGTAACAGCCTAAGAAGCGAACGGGATATTTTAAAATGCAATTTTGTAGCAAACTCAAGTAGTATGGACACTTCCAGTTGGGGAAGTCTGCCTGTCCCTAGATTCCAGAACAAAAGAAGCGTTTGCCAACGGAGGGGATGTGACTGCCTGCGCTCCTCTTCCACCGCCCGAGCAATCACGGCTCGGAACGCAAGCGCCCACAGCCAGCCTGGCTTCCCTGCTCCCCCTGGAGGGCCAGCATTCGGGGAAGCCAGGCTGTCGCCATTCTTGGGGACACGGCGTCCCGGGAGGCAGCCAGGCCCGGCAGAGGGTCCTCCGCAGGCTGGTGCCCAACCCGGGCGTTCCGAGCCGGGTGCCAGGCTTCTCCGGAGCAGGGAGGGTAGGAAGGAGAGGAAACGGTGCAGGCAAACAACACCGCCCGTCCCTTATCAGCGTCCGAGGGGAAGGGTGGAGGAGCGAGGACGGAGTGGGCCCGGGGCCGAGCTCCCGCCCGAGCGCCTTTGAAACTGCGTTTCGGCACCTCTCGCCCTGAGCCCTGCGCGGCGGCTGGAACCCGCGCGAGCCGCCCAGCCAATCACCGCCGCGCTTCCTCCCGCCGCTCGCCAATGGCGGCGCGCGTTCTTGGGGCGTGCGCGAGCCAGGCTGCTCTCCCCCTAGCTTGTGTGTGGGCTAGGCTCGCCGTGGGCTCCCGGCTTGGCCGCACTTGCTCGCTAGTCGTGCGCCCGGGGCTTTGTGGCGGGGCCGGCTTGGGCTTTGTGTCCTGACTTCTGCGCTGGCCCGCGGCGCTGCCCCCGGTCCAGGGATCCCTTTTCCAGGCGGCGACGGCGGCGGCGGCGCAGCCCCGGAGCAGCTGCGAGCGTGCGAGCGAGCGAGCGAGCGCGCCGGCGTGAGCGACGACTGTGAGGGGCCGAGGAGGGGGGCGAGTCGCCGAAGCCCAAGATGCCGGAGTTCCTGGAGGACCCTTCCGTCCTGACCAAAGACAAGTTGAAGAGCGAGTTGGTGGCCAACAACGTGACGCTGCCGGCCGGCGAGCAGCGCAAGGACGTGTACGTGCAGCTCTACCTGCAGCACCTCACGGCGCGCAACCGCCCTTCGCTCGCCGCGGGCGCCAACAGCAAGGGGCCCCCCGACTTCTCCAGCGACGAGGAGCGCGAGCCCACCCCGGTGCTCGGCTCCGGGACCTCCGCGGGCCGCGGCCGCGCCGCCGTCGGCAGGGTAAGCTTGGCCGGCCCGGGGCCGCCGAGGCGGGCGTTTGGCGGCCGCGGCGCGTGCTCGGCAGCGGGGCTGGCCCCCCGCGGAGTCGCCGTGGTCGCGAGGCCGCCGGCCCGGGAGGGGACGCGGGGACGGGGGGGGGGGAGTGCTCCGTGCGAGCCGCTCGGCTGCTCGCTCGGCCCGGGGCCCTGCGTGCTCCGGAGCGGGTGTAGACACTGCCTCCTGAATCTTTTGCTAAAACCCCGCAGGCTCGGCCGCGACACGCGAGCCGAAGTTGGAGCGTTTTCCCGCTTTCGTGCCCGATGGCTCGCAGCGGAGTCTCAGAGCGCTCCCTGGAGGGCAGTTTGCGACATAGTCATTTCTGGCCAAATTTTTTTTTGAAATGAAGGCATTCCCGCCTTTTTTTTTTTTTTTTTTTTTTTGGCCTACTGAACCGTTTGTTTCCTCGGGCGTGTTACTCGTTTGTAGTCCACGGGCCGCACTTTTAGTGGGCTGGCTTTCCTGTAAACTGAACACTGCCTTTGGAAAAGTTCTCGCAGGCGTATTGCAGAGTCCTAGTCAGAGTTTGAGTTGTTTACCGTTGTTTAAGATTTTTGCTTGAGAAGGAAAGGTCGGGAAGCAAAGAAAAGTTTGTGACAATCTGATGTATCAGTATCACTACTTGGAGTCCCATACCAGCGAAATCTAAGATGGGTTCCCTCAAATATTTACCATGTTGTTTTTTTCTTTGGGTACGTTTTAAGTAGCGTCTTGTTGGTTTATATTTAGCTACCAGAATTCAAGTCATAAAAAGTAGTTAAGACTCCGACTGGTGTAACTTAAAATCTTCGAGAGACACAACGCGTGTTTTGGTTGGAGGTGTTGCTCCTGTTGGCCGATACAACCGAATGGATTGCGGCTTCTCGCTGCGGAGAATTGAACCCCACAGCCTTTTTGCTTACCCTATAATAGCGCGGAACTACACCTCAAGCCGCCAGTTGCTGCTTTGAAAGTTTTGCAGTGTTTTGTTTAACGTTAGTTGTTTGTTTTTGTTGATTGCCCAAACGAGAGAAAGCTACGTCACGGGCACGTGTGGATTTAGATGCGAAAACTTTACTGAGTTTCACTTTCTTTAGTCTTCAGTCTCGCTCATAGTGGGAGTGTTGTTAAAATGTTTAGGTTTATCCAGTAAGGAGACACAAACCGCGACTCAACGATCCCACGTGGAGTTTATTGGTGGACAGGGAGGGAAAAGGGGGTGAGAGGTAACCAACCTGTGCAGAGCAGAGAGAGAGATAAGATGAGACAGAGAGAGTAAGAGCAAGAGAGTAAGAGAGCGTAAAGGCTCAGGCAGTCTAGTAAGCACTAACCCGAGGAATGTATTTCCAGTGCTCGCTCGGGAGACGAAGGATCCTCAGTTCCTTGAGCTCTTAAGACCAATAAATTAGTAAATACTGACCAGCCACACCTGTTATTGTTTGGTGTCTACCTATTTGTGATGGGGGGGGCAAACATACCATTGTATTTCATTTTTAAAGTTAAACAAAATAATGGATTTCACCCGAAAGTTTTACTTGCGTGTGTATCAGGTTCTTTCCGAATTTTTTCCATCCTGCCTTCCCACTAGTCCCTGTTTATCCCTTCTTTACATAGCCTGCGTGTTTTTTTAAATATCTGAATTCTGCATGAGAGAAAGTATCATAATTGTCTTTGGAAGGGGAGTTGAAATAGGGTCTCCTGTAACCCTGACTGGTCTTGAATTCACTGTAGTCAAGGATGACCTTGCCTCTGACTCCCGGTACTGGGATTATGGGTGTACACAGCCATACCTGATTCAGGGTGGTTGGTTTCACTTAACGTAATCGCCAGTTTCATCCATTCTGCTTACGACATGATTTTGTTATGTGTAGACAAAACTCTGTGTGTGTTCTGTTCGGGTTCGGTGGTTCCATGCTTTTTGTGGTTTTAAAGCCACTTTAGGGGACTAGGGAAATGACCTGCCCAACAGACAGAAAGACCCCCAGCACTCACATAAAAAGCTGAGTGCAACCATGGCATGTGTCTGTAAGAAAAAAACCAAAAACGTGGAAGACACACACCCGTACATGTTAAGTACACGTTAAGTAGGATTTACCAGCAGAGAGGTGGTTCAGTCTGAAATTCCAGCATTCAGGGAGGCTGAGATTCGTTTGTCTCTAAATGAGAGGGTTTTTGTTTTTCCCCTTTTTTTGTAAAGTTATTTGATACAGGGTTTCTCTGTAACTGCTTTGCTATCCTGGGACATATTTTATAGACAGACTCTCTTGAACTCAGATCAGCATACTGCTGCCTCCCTCAGGCTGGGAGTAAAGACTCGCACCACCACACCAGCTGAAGAGCACCCCTTTTTAACTCTATGTGTGTGAATGTTTTGCCTGCATTGTATGTCTGGTGTATGCTTACTCGGGCCATTAGAGGCATCTGGGACTGGAGTTAGAGGTGGTTGTGAGCCTCTCTGTGGGTTCTGGGAATCAAACTTGGATCCTCTGGAAGAGCAGCCAGTGTTCATAGCCACTGAGCCATCTCCACCCCCCTCCACCAGCTCTTTTAAAAAGGTAGTCCCCCCCCCAAAAAAAAACACAGGCATTGGTGGCACATGCCTTTTATCCCAGCACTCTGGGGGGAGCAGCAGGTGAACTCAGTTCCCGGACAGTTGGTGCTACCCAGAAACCCTGTCTCAGCCAAAAACAAAGGTTAAAAAAAAAAAAGGTTAGCATTTGAGCTGTCTCGGTACTTATTTAGTACGCAAAAAAAAAAAGATAGTTTCCATTTCAAATGACACGTGGTGGGGTGGGTCTTCTGTCAGATCATCCAAGTGTTTCATCCTAGTTCACCTGCTGGAAGCAGTCATCTATACAGGGGTTTGAAGCTTTCATGTTTGTATACATAAGAGTTCTGCTACTTACCATGTGCTGATTTTGATGTTGAGTCCTGCCTCAACTCCCTGAGTGCCAAGATAATAAGTGTGTACCGCTAGGTGTGTTCTTAACTACTGCAGATTGGTTTCTGCAGATGTGTCATCAGCTTTTTATTATTTTTAAAAATTGTGCTATTTGCTCATTCCAGCTTAACTCATCGGTACAGGAAAGACCCCCCCTCTTTTTGAGTATCAACTATAGGGTTGAGTTGTACCTCAAGATCAGAGGGACAGTTTAGAATGCTGTAGGCATTGTGTTGATCCCTCATCACTGGGGTGGGGAGCAGAGTACCTCCTATGTCCCATGGATCTCCAAGCTAGCGCTATGGCAGGGGTTCTTTCCAAGGGTCTTATAATGATAGGTTTGTAGTTTCCATTTGCAATATTTAAATTTCTTTAAAATGTATAGCATTGATTGGACTCTATCAACTACTTGAAAATTTAATATTGGCAATCAGTTGGTATTGTATTGCTTTAAACTACATGAATAAAGTTAGTTTTGATTTTAGATGTTAAATTATCATTTTTAAGTCTTCTAGAACATTTATGATTACTTGTATAAAGTTATTCTGTTTTTTTTTTTGTCTTGGTCTCCTGAGTGCTAGATTGCAGGCACGTGCTACCATGCCCAGCCTTCGTAAATACTTTAATTAAAGTAAAAACTTTCATATCACCATCATAGTATTTTACCTTGGGTGCATATGATGGGGGGGCAGGCCGTGTGTGTGTGTGTGTGTGTGTGTGTGTGTGTGTGTGTGTGTGTGTGTGTGTGTGTGCATGTGCGTGTTTTCCCCCCTTGGTTTGTTTGTTTCCCTGTGGCTTTGGAGGCTGTCTTGGAACTCACAGTGATCTGCCTCTCTTACTCCCCAGTGCTGGGATTAAAGGCATGCACCACCACTGTCCCGCTTGTCTTGGTTTCTTATTTTTAGGCTTTTAACTATCTGTCTTTATCAGTATTTTTAGGTGTTACAATGATCTAGATAGTGGGCACAAGAATAAACATTTGTGGAGCTGGCAGTCTGCCCTTTTGTTTTCCTGTGCAGAGCGAGCATGCAGGCTGAGCTGATAGGAAGCCAGTGGAGCATGGTAGCACTCTTCGGTGCATTTGAGTCTCCTGAGTTCGAGGCCAGCTTGGTCTACAGTTAGTTCTATTGTAGCTAGGGCTACACAGAGAAACCCTGCCTCTACTGGCTTGATTTTAGAGTTCTTCAAGTTAGTGTAAATATAATGCACTTAAAATGAAACTGGATAGTAGCTAGATATGGTGGTTCATGCCACTTGTTCTAGAACTCAGGAGGTGGAGGCAGGAGGATTGCTGGGAGTTCAAGGTCACCCAGGGTTATAGTGCTTAGGAGCACTGGTTGCCCTTCCACTAGGTTTGCCTCTCAGCACTGAAATGGTTGCTCAAATCTGAAATTCCTTGCTCTGGGGACCTAATACCCTCTTGTGGCCTCCACAGGTACTGCATGCACATGGTATGCACAGTACATGCCTGCAAAGCAGTTGTTCGTAAGTTTTGTTTTTTAAGGAAAAATCAGTTTGTCTACTTAAACAAAGCTACCGTAGGGAGAATCTCACAGTTAACACTTCCATTCGGATTGAAACTGCTGCTTTGTTAATTATATGTACCAGTTGCTCTCCTCCCAATTTTCCTTCTTATTAAATGTGATTTTATTGACGGACCCCCTACTTTCGGGTTCACTTTACGAGAGCTTATTGCCCACTCAAAATTTTTCTTTGTTCATTTGAAGTTTTTCATTATGGAAGTGTGAATTGGTTTCCTGCTTCTAAAAGCTTTTTAGGGGGTTGCAGACTGAAACCCAGGGCTTGCTAGGCACACATTCTACTATAGAGCCATGGCTGGAGAGATGGTTGGGCCATTAAACACTGGGCTCACGACAAAAAACTTAAATGATTGTGTTTTTTTTTTTAATGGCTTGATTTTTTTTTCCCATCAAATTGTACTTAGAATTATTTGGTTTATGGCTGGGCTCTGTTTGTTGTTTCTCTGCTTTAATCTTTTATTTTATGTGTATGGTGTTATGTCTGCATGTATGTCTGTGTGCCTCTTGTCAGTGCCCTAGGAAGCCATTCAGATCCCCTGACACTAGAGTCAGAGACTGTTGTGAACTACAGTTGGGTGCTGGGAATTCAAGAGTGGCCAGTGCTCTTAACTGCTGGCTCATTCATTCTCTGTCCCCCTTTGTCTCGTTTTTGAGGTTTGGGATAAAAATGTGACACTATTCTTGCCTCCTTTCTCATGTTCTCTTACATACTATATCCAGATTACTCAAACTACACATTAAAAAATGTTAGCCCAATATGAAGAATCAGATTAGGCCAGTCATGGTAGCATAGCTGTAATTCCAAGACTTTTTGGACAGTTGATGCCATTGCTGTCTCTTCAACTGAGCCAGACCCTGACCCCCAGCAGCAGTGTTTTAAGTTACTTGTCAGGGTTGTACAGTTGAACTTGAACTTAGAAAAGCCTGCAAATAATTTTTAGTTTCACCAAATTGCTGTGATCAATGTAACAGTAAGTCACCTTGTTGATTGCATAAACATTGCCGTGCAAATAAATAGTTTTCATGTAGAGAAGGTAATTGTACTTTGATTCCAGAAAGCCACAAAGAAAACTGACAAACCCAGACCAGAGGATAAAGATGACCTAGATGTGACAGAGCTCTCTAATGAAGACCTTCTGGATCAGCTTGTAAGATACGGGGTGAACCCTGGTCCCATTGTGGGTAAGTTGACCAACTCTCAAATGGTTTTCCAAGAAGCAAGACCCCCAGATCATTTTTAACTCTTACTAATGGTTAGAATTTGGGTCTTTCTGTCATTATTTATATAACCAATCAACAAGTTGAGTTTTATTACCTATTGTTTATATTGTCCTAGTCAGTGATCATTTTTGCTACTCCTAAGACTTGGATCTTTTTTTTTTGTTTTTTTTTTTTTTTGTTTTGTTTTGTTTTTTTTTTTTTTTTTTGTTTTTCGAGACAGGGTTTCTCTGTGTAGTTTTGGAGGCTGTCCTGGCACTCGCTCTGTAGATCTCTCACAGAGATCCACCTGCCTCTGCCTCCCGAGTGCTGGGATAAGACTTGGATCTTACCTGGTCAGATCATCTCAGTCTGTGAGCAGAGTGTAAATTATTCAGTTCCTAACACGTTCCATTTACTAATTAACAGCAAAGGTATTTTTTTTATTTATGTTTGTCTTGATAATCCTAAAGAACAAAGGAAACAGAAGGCATGCAGAACTAAATACTCGAGATTCGTCATTTGCTTTTCTAGATAACAGCATTTTTGCCAGGTTAATTACGATTTTCTTACAGGGTTTAGGCAGTGACTGAGACAAATTAACACACAACTTTGGGATTGTGTTAAAATTTGAACCCTAGGTAAAGGTTGGGTGCATTTTGTTATAGCTATAGTTGGAAATGATGATTTAGTTTTGTCTTTTTGTTTGCATCTGGGTCTCACTGTGTAGCCTGCCTGGCTTTGATCCCCAAGTGCTGGATTTAGAAGTATGCTCTTCATAGGCTACTCTCAGATAGACCACCCTGTGGCTATAATTACCAACAGACATTACATGTTAATGCACCAGTTGTTTGCCTCACAACCTCATAAAGTTCTTAGATATGTGTTGTTTATGAGCGATACACCTGTTGTCATCACCTTCCAGAAATTGAGGGAAGATACATACCTAATGTAAATAGAAAATTAAAGATAAGTCAAATGATTTATAGGATTTGACCCATGGTTCACTATAGGCATATTGATCATTGATCTTAGTGCAGTGAAGTATAATCATTTTTTGTTCAGGGTTCCATCTATTCATAAAAAAGCACTTTGGGGAGCTACAGGGACGGGTCAGCATTTAAGAACACTAGCTGCTCTTAGAGCAGATTTATTTGATTCCAAGCACCCGAGTGGTTAACAATTGTCTGTAATGCTATACAACATCCTCATCAGGCTTACACAGGCACAGAGATATGGTGCACAGATAGACACATCAGCAAAACACCCACTCACTTTTTTAAAAAATGTAATCTTGTGCAGACAGTGGTGGTGTGCACCTTTAATCCAGTGCTTGGGAAGCAGAAGCAGGTGGATCTCTGAGGGCCACACAGAGAAACTCTTGTCTCAAAAAAATTATAATCTTGTATTTACAGCCCAGAGAAACAACTATTTTGGAAGAGTACATTATGTATTATTTTTAATTACTTAGTTTAGAAACAGAAAGCATGTTGCTTAAAAACCAGTTTGCTATAGGGACTGGAAAGATGGTCCCCGCTTGAAGAGTGCTGCTCTTGCCAACAGGACCTGAGTCTCGTCCACTGTCCTGTAACTGGAGCTCCGGGGGGATCTGGCTCCTCAGGTCTCCAGGCATCTGCACTAATGTACATACATCCATATGTAGATACACACACAAGCACACACACACATAACAGTTTTTTGTTTGTTTGATTTTAATTTTGTAAAGATAGTTTCATGCCACTGCTAATGGAGCTTTTGCCTTAACCCAGGGACAACCAGGAAGCTGTATGAGAAAAAGCTGCTGAAACTGAGGGAACAGGGGACAGAATCCCAATCTTCTACTCCTCTGCCAACAGTCTCTTCCTCAGCAGAAAATACAAGACAGAATGGAAGTAATGACTCTGACAGATACAGTGACAATGATGAAGGTAAAATTGTAAATGCTGGTAATAAAATATGTGGGGTTTTTTTCCTGACTCAGTGTTGACTATGAAGGAGGTAAAATTTAAAACAGCATTGACATATATATGTTTTATAAAAACAAACTTCTCTTTCTCCATTATCACATCTCCAGAAGAAATCATTATTTGATGTTTATCTTTCCAACTTTTATATTTAATGATCAGTTTGATAAATACTGCTTTGTTTTTAAAAATTATATATTAATGATATGCTGAATCTTCATTATTTTGTTTCATGCTATTTTTGGATCATATTACATGTTTATGTGTTTATTCCTTATATAGTGTTAACATTTAAGTACAACGTTTTCTATTGATAGGCAAACAAGTTATTTAAAAGATTTTGCTTACATACATTGATTTCATGGCAATTTTGACCATGATTTTAAACATTTTTGAGAGTAGATCAGGAAGTACATTCATTTTTAAATTAGAGAATAAATGCAGAATTTGATACCTAAGAGTTTTAACTCAGAATTTGCTAATTTTATAAATATTTAATTTGACCATGCTTTCCAAAGGCACTGGTATCAAATTGGTTGCTGAGAGTGTGGAGTATAGGATCCTTTTCTTCAACAGCACTGTCTTAGCAAGGAGGCAGAGGATATGACCAGCCCAAACCAGTCATGCTTAAACTTCCTGCCTCTTTTGCCTCTACAGGAAAGAAGAAAGAACACAAGAAAGTGAAGTCCACTAGGGATTTTGTTCCTTTTTCTGAACTTGCATCTGCTTCCCCTGGTGGATTTTTCCAGGGTATTTCTTTTCCTGAAATCTCCACCCGTCCTCCTTTGGGCAGGACTGAACTGCAGGCAGCTAAGAAAGTACATACTTGTAAGGGAGACCCACCTAGGGAGTTTTTTACTGACACAGCCTTGCCTGGGAGGGGACAGGTGCAGAAGGTAGCGCCTGGACGGAATGCATGTATTCCTTCCGAGTCTAGCTATGATAGATACGTAGAGAAGAGTTCTTCGTCATCTTCTCAGCACGAAATCGCTGCCAGGCTGGCCTCTGCTGCAGCTTCTCCTTCACGGATAAGAGAAACTACTACTACTTACTCTAAAGACATAGTAGAAAATATTTACCGTGGAGGAAAACGTAGAACTCGGCCTTCGTGTACTGAGGAGTCTGATGTTTCAGATCAGTCAGTTCTCTCTAGTGAAAGAGAAGTTCTCCAAGAGTCAGAGAGATCACAGGTCCTTTCTCCACCACTTGCTCGTGAAATCAGAGATTATGTCAATTCTCTGTTAGTCCAGGTTGGGGTTGGCAGTTTGCCTGGGATTTCTAATTCTGTCCCCTCACTGGATGTAGAAAGCATATGTAAGAGACTTGGCCAGTCTAATCGTCAAGAGTTTGAATCCCTGTCTCCTCCCCGCACAGTCCCTAGACTCAGTGAGACGCCCCCAAAGGAAGGGGGCCCAGGGTCATGTGTGGCATTTCAGAATATACCTGAATCTGAACATATGTCTTCTTTTGCCAAAAGTGTTGTCTCTCATTCCCTTACTACCTTAGGGATAGAAATGTCTGGGCAACCACAGCATGATAAAGTAGATGCCTCAGAACCATCTTTTCCTCTACATGACTCTATTTTAAAAGTAATCGAAGAGGAGTGGCAGCAAATTGATAGGCAGCTGCCTTCACTGGCATGCAAATACCCAGTTTCTTCCAGCGAGGCAACACGGATATTATCAGTTCCAGCAGTAGATGATGAAATCTTGGGGCTTGTTTCTAAAACCACCCCACAAGCAGCAATTCAGGCATCCTCCTCTGAGTCTTGTGATAAACATTTGGACTTAGCTCTCTGTAGATCTTATGAGGCTGCAGCATCAGCACTGCAGATTGCAGCCCACACTGCCTTTGTGGCTAAGTCTCTGCAAGCCAACATAAGTCAGGCTGCACAGGCCATTAGTTCAGATCCTAGCTGTGCACCCCAAGCACTTGAGATTCTGAGCAGAACCTATGATGCAGCTTCATATCTCTGTGATGCTGCGTTTGATGAAGTGAGGATGTCTGCTTATGCCATGGGGTCTTCTACTGTGGGGCGGCGTTATCTGTGGTTGAAGGACTGTAAGATTAACCCAGCTTCTAAGAATAAACTAACTGTTGCCCCCTTTAAAGGCGGAACATTATTCGGTGGGGACATACACAAAGTTATTAAAAGGCGTGGAAATAAACAGTAATAAAGTCAAGGACAGAGACAAAGTTATCTTTGATTTGTAGAGTTTATGAACCTTTCTAGGAATTCTAGCAGCTTCTATGCCAGAATTTTCTTTTCTTTTTTAGTCTAATAGAGCTAATTTCAAGGTGTTAAGCTTCTGCTCATCAATTTATAATATAATCACAAATATAGAAGCCTAGTACAGTTTAGGGTTAGATCACATATTTACCTCACAGAAGTTGACAGCTTCCTCTTTTACATAACACTTTTATAGAAGCCTTACATTGCTTTCTTTTTAGTTAAATATTTTACAACTTTTAGATATAAAAAGAATTCCGCAACTAAAACTAAAATATCAGTAGAATCCTCACCTTTTTTTGTTTGTTTGATTTTTCCAAGACAGGCTCCGAGTAGCCCAGGCTGTTCTAGAACTCATAAAGATCTGTCTGCACCGTGAGTGCTGGGAATAAGGACATGTGCCACTGCTGCCCAGTGGCCTCAAGTTTTTCTTTTGAAGCGGTGACATTCACGCACTTCTTTATGCCTAGATCATAGTTAAACATTACTAACCACTTGAAACATTGATTCCCCTCCCTCTTGTCAAAGGAATTTGTTTTGAAGAGTCTAGTGTGCAGGAATGCCAACTCTTTCTCAACAGCAGTGGAATAGGCACACAGCCCTGTGATTTCAGAGTCAGCTCTGCTTTCTGCTGCTTATTTTCACTACATAAATCTCTTGCTTGAAGGCCTTTTGTTCACTCGTGACATTGCAAGGCATCTACAGGTGACCTTTGTAGTTTAATTCTTATCACTCTTGGCTAAGTATCTACACATTCTAAAATGTGTCTGAATTCTTGTTCATACTTCTGTCTACAACAAACTTCTTAATAATTCTAGATCAGTGAAACTCTTTAAGTGCCAGCACACAAACTTGCTGATTCACAGACATTGTATCAGAATGAGGGGGAAAGGACTGCATCTCAGTGGTAAGAAGCATGTGCTGATCTGATTGTGCATGTGGCCCTGAGTTCAGTTCACTGCCACCCAAATAAAGTTTAATCAAAGTATTTAAATCTAGACACCCTTTGTAAGAGAACAGTGAGGGATATATTGCACGCCTGTATATATGTGTACACACACTCACATGGGTGCCTATTTTTTTAGTAAACTAATTTTAAAAAAGCAATGCATACCTGTACCTTCTGATAGAGAAGGTAGCCATCAATTCAGGGGCCATACAAGCATGTGACCACACTTTGAGAAACACAGCTACGGACAATAGATATTCTAGTATAGTTCATGTTCACTCAACATGACTTGTTAGATGAATAAGACAGTAAAAAGGGCTTTTTTTACTTACATGTGTTTAAAGAGATGTCCACATTAGGTAAATTTCATATCTGAATGCTAAAAGCAAATTTGAATTCTTTTCTAAAATCCTTAAGAAATTTTACTATTCCCCTATGTCTGTGTCTGAATGAAGCATGTATTATCCTGATTTCATTTGTATGGTGGTAAGGTAAGGTATGGTAGCCTGATTGTAGAGACAATGGAAAGTAGAGTTCCTTGAGTGTACGTGTCTACTGCTACCATGTTGTTAGACTGCACACTCCCACCTCTGCAGCTTTGTTATTTGTCTTCTAAAATGTACATGTATACATGTACCTGTTAAGTACTGTGTGATTTCTTTAAAGCAATGTATTCCTGTAGAATGCGTCTACAAATTCAATAAAGTTGTTAAATTTGAACAGTCTTGTGTGGTCTCAAGAAACATGTTTTATGTGTGCTTTCTTCTTTGAGTTTCAACAAGTGGAATATTTGGATGAACATACCTTCTCCATTTCATCATTGAAACATTCCAATAGTGTAATTGAAAATATTCTAGTTGTCATATCCTTTCTACTATTTAAGGATCATATATTTAATTGACTGTTTAAACCTAAATTTGAACAAGGACTTAATTTGTAACCAGGTAACTAATTTGTCTAGTCAGTATCTGTTTCGCTACTAGGTTTTTTTGCTCTGGGCTATCTCAAAGAAAGGACAGAGTAGATTTTATAATACCAAGTGTACCAAATACAGATATGCTCATAGTGACAGTGTTGGGCATAGACTTGGTTGCTTGGTCTTTTCAGTTTTTCGAGACAGGGTTTCTCTGTGGCTTTGGAGGCTGTCCTGGAATTAACTCTGTAGACCAGGCTGGTCTCAAACAGTTGCTTGGTCTTAATTGACCTATTTGAACTATTTTCATTAACAGTCACTATCTTGAGGGAGAGAGTGATGGCAGGTGTATTTGGACTCATTATGCATCTCAAATATTATAAGATTAGCCTAGAAAGCCAGCAAGGCACAAAGTTATCCAGATCACTTTGGATCGTGACCACATTGAGCTTGTATAAAACTAAGGTTTAAGAACTGATTCTTGTTTCTTTGCTAAGAAAGTACATTTTTGGAGTAAGTTTTAGCAATAAATTGACTTTCTTTACTATGATAAGTGGCCACAAAAGTAGAAAAGCTTTAAGTTTTTGCTTGGTTTTAAAGTATTTATTGGGAGGCTATCATTTTCTTTGCTTATTTTGGTGCTAAAGATTGAACCCAGCACCCCATACATGTTCTACTGATCTGCACCCCCTAATTAAGACTCCTTGGCAGTTACCATTCACTTAAATGGTTGGTGCCATACAATTGTGGGAAATTTTCATTTAATAGTAACCTTTGCAGTATAGCAGTGATGTAGTGCACAGACAAAACAATTCTTCCACATTTTGCATTTTTGTCATTGTTTGTTTTTTGTTGTTAAAAGCCTCCACAGGAGCAGTTTGAATTCTCTTTTACCTTTGAGGTTATTCAAGGGGTAGGAAAAAAATGGAAAAGAGTAAGTAGGAAGGAGAAATCAGATTAAACCGTGGAAAGGATAAAAATAAACTAAGATTATTAAAAGTAAAGGTTTGGACTGTGGATGGTTCGTTTGGTCAATATTACTAAGCAATTTTGCTCCACTGAGGTATTACAATAAACAGATTGTCATGTGCACTAATGTACCTAAAACCAAGGTTCCAAAGTGATAGTAAAACATACCAAAAGTGTTTGAGTAAATAATGATTTCTCCAATGTTATTTCCAGACTCTAAAATAGAGCTCAAGCTTGAGAAGAGAGAGCCACTAAAGGGCAGAGCAAAGACTCCAGTAACACTCAAGCAAAGAAGAATTGAGCACAACCAGGTATCTTTAGTTTTATGACCACCGTGTGCAGGTGTGAGTCATGTGACCGGCACTCATCTGTCTTGTGTTTTGACCTTTGATAAATAGTTGTCGCATGCAGTCCTCCTTACTCAGTCCACTTAGTCTCATTGTTAAGTGGTGTGGAAAACAGATACTTTGGGATTTGTCAGTAGCATAGCATGTGCTGTGTGTCCTGTACTGAGCAGTTTGGTGTTGGTCATACTGCCCAGTTTTCATTTTGGTACAAGGGATTTGAACCTGGGATCTCAGGTGTGCTAGGCCATTGCTGTTCCATCATATTTCCTTTTAACAGAATTGTTTTAGGAGATAGAAAAATGCACTTTTGATGTAACTTCTTTGGAAATCAGGAAAGTAGTTTTGTATACTTGTCTTTGACTAGATTTCTGATTTTGAGTTTACTTTGTTTCATTATTTGTAGCTTTTTCCTACACTTTGAAACTAGTATGTTTCTAAAATTACATATTTTAAGATAAAGATTTACAATTTTGGGGGGGGGTGGGACCAACAAGATACAATTCCAAAAGGAAAATTATAGGAAAGCTCGTGTAAGGCATTAATAATTATATTGTTTTACAGAGGAACATTACTGGGTCTAATTTAGGCTTGGTACCCAAGGTTCTTTTAACTTTTTTGAGACAGTTTCTCTGTGGTTTTGGAGGCTGTCCTGGATCTAGCTCTGTAGACCAGGCTGGTCTCAGACTCACAGAGATCTGCCTGCTTCTGCCTTCCAAGTGCTGGGATTAAAGGTGTGGGCCACCACCGCCTGGCCTACCCAAGGTTCTTTTCCTCGTCCTCACTTTTGAGCTAGACAATGTGTGTTATTCATGTGCCTTTTCCATGTTCTGTCTCTTTCATTTCTGTGGTGTTTTTGAGACAGTTTTTCACTAGATGGCTCTGGCTGGCCTGGAACTTGTAAAGTGTTCTGCAAGAGCAGGTGTGCACTGCATGCCCTGCTTCCTTCCTTTTGTGGGGTTGCATTGGAGAGGTGGGGCCCAGTGTACCCCTGGTCCTCCTGCCTGTACCCTCCAGATCTAGGTATAGGAATGTACCACCATTCCTGACCAGAAGTGGTTTACTGAGTATTAAGTTGGAATCTGAACAGTAAGTCTAGTCTAGTTTCCACTACAGCTGTTTTCTCCTCCCTCCATAATTGATCATGACAGTGTTTCCTACATTCAGGAGGTAGTAGGTTGTTTCATTTGTTTCTTGGTGTCCTATATAATCTGGTATACTGGGGACCACACCTGTGTGTGACAGTGTAATAGACTGTTTTTTAGTCAAAATAGAAATGTTGGATATCAGTGCTAGAGTAATTTTTTTAAATATTATAGTTGAACTGAGGCTACTATATCTTTTTTACCATTAAGTATGTAGCTGGTGATGACTGTTGGGCAGCATAGACGTAAGGGGTTGGTTGGGATTTGGATTCAGTTTCTTTAACAAGAATATTTCATGAATGATGTTGTACCTATTGCTCATTTCAGTAAACAACATGGATTTCCTTAATGTGCTAAGATTAATTAACAAGTTCTGATGTTGAGAGGTTGAGCCATCCGATGTAAAGCCTTTTCTGGCCTTTTTATTTAAAGGTTTTAACGGCTGTGAATGATATTGCCTAAGTCCATGCATGGTTTTATTTTTTTTAATAATTTATATACATTGGTATGAATATCAGATCCCCTGAAACTGGAGTTACAGACAGTTGTGAGCTGCCATGTGGGTGCTGGGAATTGAACCTGGGTCCTCTGAAGAGCAGCCAGTGCTCTCAACTGCTGAGCCATATATATCTCTTAGTCTCCCCCCCCATGATTTTATTTGAAGTTACAAAATGATGACTTTTCTCATTATTATTTAATATATATAATTATTTTCTTTAAAAAAAAACACTTTGCTGAGTTCCTTAGTTACCTTGAAGTAAGTTCATATAAGAGAACCAGAAAAAAACCTTTTGTGTGCCAATTTTCAGGTTAATGCACCCATCATTTTTAAGGTGAAATAAATTTTTGTTGTTTTTGGTTTTTTGGGGTTTTTGTTTGTTTTTTGAGATAGGGTCTCTGTTTATCTCAAGCTGACCTTGAATCCACAGAGGGGTATGAGTTCTAGAATTAAAGGTGTGCACAGCCATGCTTTTTAATACACTTTTTATGCTATGGCTTTTATATTCATGATCAGTTGTAATACAGTCATTACCCCCATCATACCCACAGCCTGCTGCACAGTGTACAAGCACTTTACTGCTGGGCTCCATTCCCGGCCAGATAGATGGGGCCTAGAGTCTCAGCCCCTTATTTCCCTTCTTCCATCTTTTTTTTTTCAATAATTTATTTTATTTTATGTACAGTGGTGTTTTGCCCACATGCATGTAAGGGTGTGGGATCCCTTGGAACAGGAGTTACAGACAGTTGTGAGCTGCCATGTGGGTGCTGGGAATTGAACCCGATCCTCTGGAAGAGCAGCCAGTGCTCTTAACTGCTGAGCAGTCTCCAGCCCCTCTTTCCTCTGTCTTTAAACAGAATTTGTAAACATGTGGTGACATTTCAAGTTTACAAATATAGGCTATAAACTTGGTTCTTCTAATTATACTTAATTTAATTTAAATATCGTGTTTTTTACATGTTTCAGAATAACACACTGCTAAGTGCAATCCTCAGTGTTTTCATTAAGATATATCATTAGGATATAGGTCGGGCGGTGGTGGCGCATGCCTTTAATCCCAGCACTCGGGAGGCAGAGGCATAAAGTAAAATGATGTGTTTAAAATCTTGTGAATGAATACTTTTTGTAGACAATATCTTAATGTACTACTAGAGTTTTATGTTACTCTATAGAATTGATTCCCCCTCTCTCCCCAGCCCCCCAAGTTTTAGAGTTTGTTTTCTTTTTGGGAGTATTACATAGGTTGTTTATATTTATCTTTCCCCCTTACATACCTTCCTAGAGTTCACTCCGAATCAGCATAGATCCTCTTCCTGTTCCTCCTGCAGCTGCAGCCTGCGTATGAGATTGGTGCATATGCTATAATTTATTCAGCTGCTTTCCTTTGGTGACTATGAAAGTTCTCATTTATGTGTTGTTTAAGCCACAATAAGCAGCCATTTGCAGGTAGCATTTCATCTTTGTCAATTTGTCTAGGGAAAATAGTTTTTGCAAGGTATCACCAAATGTCTTTACATCACAGCAACACTGAGAGAGTACTGTTCTCTATTGGAGTGATATAAGTCAGTGTGGGTGGTCATATTAATTATGCTTTACATACATGTGGGTAGTGAACACTTTAAAGTAATGTGGCTTTATATCTTTATTCTTATTTATATATTCTCTTTCCCACTGTCCTGAGAATTAAACCCAGAAACTTACATTCTATGTACCTACTCCATCCTTAAGCTATACCCCTTTGCTAATACTTAGAAAGAGCCTCACTGTGTAGCCCAAGCTAGCCTCAAGCTCCTCATCCTACTACTCAGTATCCTGTGGTTTATAAGACGTGTACTACCATGTTAGACTCG